CTACAACTGTGGGAAACCGGGCCATATGGCAAAGAAATGTAGGAGCAGGCCTAAACCTGCAGCTGGCTCAAATGCTCAGGTCAACCTGACTGATGAGCAACTCATTGCCATGATCACTGAAATCAACATGGTTGGTGGAAGTGATGGTTGGTGGATAGACATTGGCGCTACTCGTCATGTCTGCTATGTTCAAGACATACATGAATGCTGAAGATAAGAAAGTGTTGTTGGGAGATGCCCATACCACTAATGTTGCTGGAATTGGAGATGTTGAGCTGAAGTTCACTTCAGGAAAGACTTTGATCTTGAAGGACGTCATGCATGTTCCTGAAATTAGGAAGAATCTTGTTTCTGGTTTTCTTTTGAATAAGGCTGGGTTTAATCAAACTTTAGGGGCAGATTTGTACACCATCACTAAGAATGGTATTTTTGTTGGAAAAGGGTACGCCACTGATGGCATGTTTAAGTTGAATGTTGATTTGAATAAAATTTCTCCTTCTGTTTACTCTGTGTGTGACTTTAATATTTGGCATGGTAGACTCTGTCACGTTAATAAACGAATCCTTTCTAATGCAAGCAACATAGGCCTAATCCCTAAACTAAATGTTAATGATTCCAATAAATGTGAATTTTGCAGTCAAGCTAAAATAACAAAAACTTCACATAAGTCAATTATAAAAGAATCTGACCCCCTAGATCTTATACACTCTGATATATGTGAATTAGATGGAAGTTTAACTAGAAATAATAAATGTTATTTTATGACTTTTATTGACGATTGCTCTGATTATACTTATGTATATCTAATGAAGAATAAAAGTGAAACGCTTGACATGTTTAAGGTGTATGTAACTGAAATTGAGAATCAATTTAACAAGAAGATTAAGAGACTTCGCAGTGATAGGGGAACCGAATATGACTCTAGCTTGTTTAATGATTTTTATGCTGAACATGGTATTATACATGAAACGACTGCTCCATACTCTCCTGAAATGAATGGTAAAGCAGAAAGAAAGAATAGGACTCTTACTGAACTTGTAGTTGCAATCATGTTGAATTCTGGTGCTGCACCTCACTGGTGGGGGGAAATTTTATTGACTGTTTGCTATGTCCTGAATAAAGTTCCCAAGTCAAAAAGTAAGATCTCACCTTATGAGATATTAAAGAAAAGACAACCAAATTTGTCTTATTTAAGAACTTGGGGCTGTCTGGCTTATGTCAGAATTCCGGATCCGAAACGAGTTAAACTCGCTAGTAGAGCCTATGAATGCGTTTTCATTGGGTATGCAGCAAGCAGTAAGGCATACAGGTTTTATGACCTAAATGCCAGAGTAATTATAGAATCAAACGATGTTGAATTCTTTGAAGATAAATTTCCTTTCAAATCGAGAAATAGTGGGGGCACACAATCGAGTCACATTCCTGTGATAAAAAGCACTGAAAGAAGCGACAATGTAGAAACAGAACTTTGAAGAAGTAAAAGAGCAAGAGTTGCTAAAGACTATGGGCCCGATTATGCGGCCTATAATGTAGAAGAAGATCCAATAAATCTTCAAGAAGCAATGTCATTTATGGATGCAGACTTATGGCAAGAAGCTATCAATGATGAGATAGATTCTCTAGAATCTAACAAGACCTGGCACCTAGTAGACTTACCCCCGGGGTGCAAACCAATTGGTTGCAAATGGGTTTTGAAAAAGAAACTAAAACATGATGGAACGATTGAGAAATACAAGGCTCGCCTTGTAGCCAAGGGATTTAGACAAAGAGAAAATATAGATTTCTTCGACACCTTTTCTTCGGTCACTAGAATTACATCCATTAAGGTACTCATTTCAATAGCAGCCATTTATAACTTAATAGTACACCAAATGGATGTTAAAACAGCGTTTTTAAACGGTGACTTAGAAGAAGAAATCTATATGGAACAACCAGAAGGGTTTGTAATCCAAGGACAAGAAAGCAAGGTCTGTAAGTTAGATAAGTCTCTGTATGGACTAAAACAAGCCCCTAAACAATGGCATGAAAAGTTTGATAACTTAATGATAATTAATGGGTACAAAGTGAATGAAAGTGACAAGTGTGTTTATTATAAATCTGAGAATCGCATTTGTACTATCATATGTCTATATGTAGACGATCTACTTATATTTGGACCAAACATTCAGGCTATTAATGATATAAAATCATTGTTATGCAATAACTTTGATATGAAAGACCTCGGAGAAGCAAGCGTGATCCTGGGTATCAAGATCACGAGATCCGACCAAGGAATTTCTTTGGATCAATCTCACTATGTGGAGAAGATCTTAAAGAAATATAAATACTTTGATTGTAAACCTGCATGCACTCCGTATGATCCAAGTGTGAAACTGTTTAAGAACACTGGAGAAAGTGTCAAACAAGCAGAATATGCGAGCATCATTGGCAGTCTTAGGTATGCCACTGATTGTACTAGACCCGACATTGCATATGTCATAGGATTGTTGTGCAGATTTACAAGTAGGCCGAGTAACGAACATTGGCAAGCTATTGAGCGAGTAATGAGGTACCTTAAAAGGACTATGGACCTCGGCCTACACTATCAGAAATTTCCTGCTGTACTAGAAGGGTATAGTGATGCAGATTGGAACACCTTATCGGATGATTCCAAAGCTACTAGTGGTTATATATTTAGTATAGCTGGAGGAGCTGTATCTTGGAAATCAAAGAAACAGACCATTCTGGCACAGTCCACAATGGAGTCTGAGATGATAGCATTAGCTACAGCTAGTGAAGAAGCAAGTTGGTTAAGATGCTTGCTAGCTGAGATTCCTTTATGGGAAAAACCTATACCAGTTGTGTTGATCCACTGCGATAGTACCGCGGCTATTGCAAAAGTTGAGAATCGTTATTATAATGGTAAAAGACGTCAAATTAGAAGAAAACATAGCACTGTTAGAGATTGTATCTCTAAAGGAGCTATAAGAGTGGATCATGTACGCACTGATGAGAACTTAGCAGATCCTTTGACGAAAGGATTAGCTAGAGAGAAAGTCCATAATACTTCCAAAAAGATGGGACTAATGCCTATAAAGCAATTTGTTACTCATGATGGTAACCCGACCTAAATGACTGGAGATCCCAAGACTTAGGTTCAATGGGTAATAACAAGTTGTGAGCAATATGAAAATGATCATGCAAGTGAAGCATGAATCCTGAAGTAATGAGAGGATGAGATGATAGAAACTCTTAATGAGATCTATACTCTGTATGAGGGAGTACCTAGGCTACAGGAGTACTTTTGATAGATTCACCTATGTGACTGTGGAACTGAGGCCGGTTCCTATGGAATTTCGAGGCAGAATTCCTAGAGCATTCACTAAACCGGGATACACGTGCAGGGCCACTAAAGCACGGGCTACAAGAATACACCTTACGGAAAGGTTGTGTGCGGGTCTGATGTCCGAGATAGAGTTCAAGACAATGGTGTCACTCTTGTTGAATCAGAATCCTACTCGTTACGCTAAGGTTCAAGTCGTAGACACCTTTGCTTATGCTCAACCTTAGAAACGTCTGACGTACTTCAAAAATCTCTTTTAAATTCAAGAGGGGGAACGTTGGAACTTTAATTGATTAGAGTGGGAATTGGAAACATTTGTTGACAATTAATGAGCAATAAATGAATACAAGTAAGAACTAATATAGAAGTGAATTTGAAAAGATTCATTTTTAGTCCCACATTGAAGGGAATGAAAATTAAGATTCATTTTAGTCCCACATTGAAGGGAATGGAAATTAAGATTCATTTTAGTCCCACATTGAAGGAATGAAAATTAAGATTCATTTTAGTCCCACATTGAAGGAATGAAAATTAAGATTCAATTTAGTCCCACATTGAAGGGAATGGAAATTAAGCCTTACTAACTGCCTATAAATACAGGGTAGAAATTCAGTAGTGAGCACATCGGATTTCACAAATTCACACGAATTTTGATTTCCTTCTTCTCTCCCTTTATTCTCTTCATCTTGCAATTTTTTCTTTTCTTGACTGGTTATTTGCGCTAGATACTAATTTAGAAAGGTGTATTTCTAGAGCGATTTATCAGTGTGCAACTGATAATCGTAAGTTGTACGGCGAAACGTCTTAAAGAAAGCGACCTAATACGCGACTCGTCCCGATAATTTTCTTGTGCCAAACTCAATTTTTTAAATCCAAAAACAACAACATATATATATATATATATATATATATATATATATATATATATATATATATATATATATATATATATATATATATATATATATTTTATATAATAAAGTAAAAAGTTGTTGAAGTAAGGATTCAAATCCAATAACTTTATGAATGTATAATTACAGTTAAATAATTTTATATGCAGTATTTTTTTGTAAATATAAAAAAAATAAATCGCATCAAAAAATAAGGTATTACCTCAGTTAATTATCAAACCGTTATAATTTAAAAAATATATGTTATAGTAGTGTGTACACAATATTTTTTTTATTTTTTTTATTGCTAGTAAGTCACTCTCCTTGTATTTTATATATTTAACCACAAAGTCAAAGGATGTTAGAATAAATTAAACTTTTGACTCGATCACTGTTTATCAATTTTAAACTCGATTTGTAAATTCTTAATTTTATTTTTATTTTTTGAATGATTTGCTTGTAATATGTACATCGTGCCTAATACGACACAGCATATTGATAAAGCTATTTACCTAACAATCAAAGAGTCACCAATCTCTACTTTCCTCTTTTCATATTTCATCTCTCTCTCTTTCCTTCTCTTTATGATTATAATATAATCAAACCCTATGTACACATAAGATATATATTCCCACAAGATCACTTTTCACCTTGTCATCTCCATCTTTCAAAAACAAAATCCACATGCATATTCAATCCATGAGATAGATCCCTTTCATTTTCTCGATTTCCATCCAAATCATCAACTCACACTTGTTGAATGATTCTTACAAATTCCTTCATTTTGCATGGCTTGTGATGCAACATTTCCCTCTACTATTACTTGCATCACCCTCTTCTTTTCTTTGCTCTTAGCTTTTCACTTTATTATGGCTGTCCAAGAACACACTTTAACACCTTCTACAAAAGATGATAGGAGCAACAATATGGTAGCAACTTCAACAAACGAAAGAAATACACAAAATTTCAAGACCAATATTCCTGATCTACAAAAGGGTCACCCTAAGGGAAGAAAACACTCTAGAGCTTCAAGGCCTTCATTTCAATGGAAAAACAAGATCTTCAATGATAGTGAACATGAAGTTCCTAGTGGTCCAAACCCCATTTCAAACAGGTAAATATTATTCAATATATCATGGTAGTAGAAGAGACCTTAGAAGAGGGAATTAATAAGATAGAAGATAAATTTGGTTTGTGGTTTTAAAGTTCTTTATGTTGTTTTTTTTTCTTTCAATTTTGTAATATTTTATTATTATTTTGTTGTTCATCTTTTTTTGGTTCATTTATGCATAGAATTGGTTTGGGATTCAAAAACATGGAGTTTAATATATGTGATTGCAGTTCTATTTTTCATATTATTGTTGTTGTCATGAAACTGAACCACACGTACCAATCATTTAAAAATGAGGATATGTGTAATATGAGATTTTATTTTCTAGTCATTATGTTCATATATGGAGTATGTATATATTTGGTTTCTACTTTTTCAGATTAATCATCATCTTTTTTTTTCATTTAAAAAAATGGTTAGGAAAATTTATAGATCATCTGATCCATGTACTGATCAGTTCATTTTTTGAATATATCTTTGCTATTTTCATTTTATCATTTTGAATAGTTTTTTACTAAATAATTCTGCTCATGATAAGGATTCAAAATTTCCTCAAAGACATTGCATGAAATATCAAATTGTAAAGTTTTGTGAAAATAGAATTTGTATTTTATGTAAGAAAATGTAAGTTTAAAATTTTTAAAAATATTTATTGTGTATATCAATTACATTTCTATGTACATATACACTCCCTCCATTATTTCATCTCATATTAAGTGGGCTTTTTTAAGGGTTACACATGTTTCTTAAGAAAATTGTAGAATATATTTTCATGATAAAACAAGTATCATTAACTAAAACAATTTAATTAATTTTTTTTTTTTTTTTGGATTTGAACCAAAATCCTTTAGCTCCTCTAAAGTTGATAATTATAATAAACTAGTAAAATGAATAGTTGATATTGAAGCACATAGTAATTTGTTACTCCATTCAACTATGCTGTTCATGTCACTTTAGAGGAGTCTTGTCTTTATTTTTGTGAAAGGCCATTCATCTTCCTATTGGTAAAGAATCCAAAGCATAAAATCTTATGGGGAAATGACACAATGATTCAAATATTTTGCAATGAAACCTTTTTTTCATGACGAGGAGTTAACTTACTCAACACAATAATGAAATAGGGTTAAAAAAAAGTGTACAAAAACAACTCTCTTACACCATTGTTTTGCGTGAAAAAGCTTTCACCAAATTTGCATTCAAACTAGTGTTTGAAGGGTCAATATCTTTCTTACTCAATTACCCAAAATATCCTTGTCACTTTCTCTAAAATTGCATAGTATCCTTTGTCTCTTTACTTTAAAATGAAACAAAACATTATTGGCTGACTCAAGTTTTATTATTTATGTACATATCCACTGTCTCTTTCCTATTGTTATTATCTTGTTGTTTGTTTATACACTAGCCAAACCGATTTGGACTAATTATCAACTCCTTTCTATTTGTTTTTCTTGTCTACAAGATGTTTATTTAATTTTTGGAAACCCTATTATTGGTGACAACTTTTCTCATCATTTCTATTTTTTGGATTTAGCTTCAAAGATTCCTTATTGTTAATCATCATAAAATAACATTTAGCATTCTATGGAAATAAATACATATACACATTATGAAACTTAGGACAAGGTACTAATTACTAAAATCAATGTTAGAATTTCATCAATCAATTTTTTCCACCACATTTTCAGCTTTTTTTAAAATGATTTTTATAATATTAACTATATTTATTAAAAAAAAAATCTTTGCAAAGAATTTTAAAATAATTGGTTTAAATATTTTTTTAAATGTTATTTTAAATATTTCTTCATTTTCCTATAATATTTTATGGTTACTAAAATTTCAGAAGTAAATCACTCAATTTTGATTGTATTTTGAATAAATTTTTACAAAAATAATTTTTTATACACATCTTTTTAAAAAATTATGTGATTTTAACAATGTTTAACTTTCACTAAAGTATATTTATATTATTGAATTTCAAAATTAATATTTTAATTTATTAAAAAATATTTTAAGAAAATATTTTTATATGAATCATTTTTAAAAATAGAATAAAAAACTATTTTTTTTTAAATTAAAACAAACGGCCCTCTAGTTTAAATAAAAAAATTAAAAAACCGGCCCTCGCGTATCTCATCTAATTAAAATTTTATTTTTGTATTAAAATTATATAAATATATATAACAAATATGACACTGACACGTTGAAAATAAAAATATCTAATTAAATATAATCGCGTGTATTTAAATTATATCGGTGTATTTAGATTATATCGATGTTAATTATTGACTTGTATATCTGATACTAATTACATATAATTGCGGCTATTTAGATTATATTGATGTTAATTATATATATATATATATATATATATATATATATATATATATATATATATATATATATATATATATATATATATATATATATATATATATATATATATATATATATATATATATATATATATATATATATATATATATATATATATATATATATATATATATATATATATATATATATATATATATATATATATATATGATACTAATTACATATTATGGATGAACCCTATAAAATGTATAGGTTCATGTTTGGAAGTGGAGCTAAAAGAGGGATAGGTAACACTAGTTGTATGTGATTTTGGCTACACCTTTGGTTTTAAGGGGTCTTGTCACTTTACTTTGTTACCAAGACTCAACTAAAAATTGCTTTGTAAGAGAATGGCTATAGAATGGATTTGCAAGGAAAAATAAAAATATAAAAAGAACTGTTGTATCTCCTACTTTGCCAAAAGCAATCAAAGTGCCTTGACAGCTTTCCTTTTTACGACTGTTTTCTTTATTTGGTTATTTTGGTTTCCTTTTCAATTATGCCTTATCTCTTTTCAAGATTGGTTTTCTTTTTCTGGTTTTTCTTGGGTACGTTCTGATTTCACAAAAGGATCATTTTTTCTATGATTTTTATTTTGCTGGCATTGTTACATCATGAAAATCATACGTCAAAGTTGAAATTTATATTTATGTGGAAGATGAGCATATGAGATTTATTGGCAATTCTTTTGTTGCTTAACTTAATCCTATAGCTAAGTCTCAAATCTAACTTTGTAAAGAAATGAATGATTTCAATCTAATTGTGGCTAAACAAATTCAAGCATTAATTATAATTCTATGTCTAAAGCAACCACATAATAATCAAACAAAGTACAATATAAATAAGAAAGATGTGTAGGAGAGTCCGAAAGAGTCGGGAGTATCAATGAAACTAATGTTCTAGAACCATAAGAGAGGGACAAGAAAAATTTATTCATTCTTCGTGGTAAAGTATATGATTGTTGGTGATGAGTATGATAATTTTTAAAGTTTCAAGTGATTATACTTTTTATGGTGGAGTATGATTGTCGGTGAACACAATGAAAGTTTATACTCTATATATAGATACAAGTTCTTTGAAGTCTCACTTCGCTTAGTTTTGTGAAAGAAGATAGAGACATCATATCTCAACCAAAAACTTTAAGGTGTTAGGTAAATGAGTAATCTCTCTTATAAATCTAACATTTCACCCATTCATCGGCAATGTGGGACTTTAACCACTCACACCCAGACTCCAATACCACTGTTGGGGAGTTCGGTAGAGTCATAAGCACCAATAAGACTAATGCTCTAGGACCACAAGAGAGACTCCACATCTCAACCCAAAATCTTAAGGTGTTGGATAAATGTGTCATCTCTCTTATAAATCCAAAATTTCACTCATTCATAAGCAATGTGAGACTTTAAACACTCACAGTTGCACCCAACAAGATAAACTATTAGATCAATATGTATTTATACATTTTGATTTAAAATGATCTATATTTAAAAGAGAGCGCATTTTTATAATCCATTATGAATAACTTTTTACAATAGTTACAAGACATTAGCTTAAAAATTCTTCAAGAATAAATCATAAGTTCTACCATTTACTCTTTTCACTTAACCCACAAAATGAAAATAAGGGAGAAAACTTATATTATTTCTTTAATAAAAATCTCACTAGCAAGTGTTTGTGACGTGTTTGTCAACCCAAAGAATCTCTTCTCCCTCTCTTTTTGTCTCTTGAAAATACCCACAAAAGGAATGAGAGAAAGCTTATCTATGACTAAAAAATGTAGGCACCGCCTTACACTCCACAATCAACTGTCAGTTACGTGCCTCACACCTCTATCCATTTTTCTTTTGGCAGAACCAAAGCTCAAAATTCCACAATACACGTTTTATAGCCCCTATTAGACGTCTTTATGTGAGGCTTAGCCAAAAATTTCATTCTTCATCCTTTACAAAGAAGAGATTTTAAGAAATACACAATAAATTCCTGTGTTGCTTTCAAATTGATGGTAATGTCAATTTAATCATCAACCATCTTGTTATTCTCACTGATCTTCCAATTGCTCTTTAATAAAATTGATCAAGTTCAAACAATGATTGAACTATGATCTAGGTAATAAATTGGTGAACACATCTTGTAAAAGATCTTTCAAAGCAACTCTCTTAACCACATTCTCCTGTGATTCAATCATGTCTCTAATAAAGAGAAAATGAATGATGATATAATTTATCCTTTCATGATGCATTTGATGATAAACAAAATGGATATCACATATTCTTGAGTATATCCTAACTCCTTATTCATATCCTTCAACCAAATGAATTCGTCCACCCCTTCAACAAGGAAAATATACTTTGTTTGAGTTGTAGGTAATGCCAAATCGGATTATTAATTTGATTTCTAACTAATAGTCAGTCCCAAAAAATGTAAACATAAAACTTGATAAGGATTTACTAGTGTATGTATTTTCAGCATAGTATGCATCTATATATCTCTTTAAAGTGACTTCCTATTGAGTTATTCTTGTGTATATCAAATCTCATTTTAATGATCCATTTAAGTATCTCAAATCCCATAAGCTTTCCAATGCACATTACTCAGGTTTTCCATAAACTGACTTACTAACCTAATTACATAAGC